TGATTCTCGGTATCCACCCATCTGTCTCTCCAGTTTTCAGGGCGGCAGTTTTCCCTGTGACCTCAGTTCTCTGAAGGATTTAAGAAAATATATTGATTTTCAGTTTGTTCAGCTTTTCTCTTGTTATGAGGGTGGGAGTGATGACTTTCAAGTATTTACAATAGTGCCGTAAACTGACTATTTTGTACATGAGAAGAAAATGAATTGTTCTTTGTCTCAGTTGAGGTTCTTTTAACCCCTTCAGTACGAGTGTCGACTATAGTCGATAGCCACAGTTGAATGTGCACAGCTGAGCATCGACTTTAGTGTTAATAACAAAACTTCTACAACAGTACTCCGAATTGAGGCAACACAACCCTTGTGCTACATCAGAAAATCTCATGCGTTTTAGAGAAAGACATTTTCCAGCACCTTACAATAGTGATAAAACAAAAAGGAAAAATCCATTAAGAAGATGTATTGTATGCTCAAAAAATAATAAAAGGCGTAGTACTAGATACTATTGTAAACAATGTAATGTTGGCCTATGTGTAGCCCCATGCTTCGAAATTTATCATACCAAAGAATAAAATTTATTGTAATATTCAAAAACTTGCCTTATTTCTCTATGATATGAATGAAATAAAACTATAATTTTGAATCGACTTTTCTAATTTTTCATTTATCAAAATAAAATTGTGAACATTTAAAAATAACGTAATGAAAACATATATGTATATATTACCTATTCTGATTTACATTACAAGTAAAGCTGCCTGTAAAGTAAAACAAGCTTTCAGTGCTTTAAAGCTTTCCTCATCACACAAGAGCAAAATGGATTCGTTGTCAATGCGCAGCACAGACTACCCTGCGGACTATGAGTGCCAGCTGTGGGCAAGGCTTCCAGGCCGGTGAGTGCGGTACCAAAGTGGTTAAAAGCAGAGCCCAAGACAAGAACTTGGTGTAAGTAGTTAATTTGAGAAGTAATCCCTGGGGACAGGAGAGAGGGTTTGGTAAAGTGAGTCAGGACAGTAGGAAAGCTCATTAAAGGCTATAGTTTTGAGCTACTTGTCTCCCGACACTGGCTTAGTGTGGTTAAAGATCCTGCTTCTCTAGGGCGCATGTTCACCACAGCCTTGGAACAGAGCATGGTAATTCTGCCTCTGGTTGTCAGATCACCTGTGCTGAAAAAGAGGAAGTGGCTGTCAAGAATGGGCGTTAGCGGCTTTGACTAGCTGAGCAGCTCTGTGCCGGTCACCTTTCTTCTCTGGGACTCAGGTTCCTTCAAGCTCGTGGAAGTTCTCTCTGCCAAAAAATATCCAAATGGTTGTCTATCGAGACAAACCCCAACATCCCAGCAATGAACCCTGAGAGGCCTGAGGCCAAGCTGGTTTTCATAGACATTGGGAAATAATCTGCCCCCTCCTTGAAAACTTGTAAATTTTTGCTTTAGTTCTTTTGATTTTACACATTTCTTCTGGTTCTTTCTCAGAGGTTTCTTTTAGTATGAGCTTTGCTCTTTTGAATCGTTTTGGAACTGAAGGCTAACTTGATTAAGCCAGTCAAACTCAACCTGCCTTGCTTGCTTTTAATCTCTTACTTTTTTAGTTGTTTTAAAACTCCTGCTAGTAAGTTACTAGCCAAACAATACAGAAGTAAACTCCTATTAGCTTCTTTATTGATAACATCTCTGACTGCGAGGCACTATAGTAATAGGTGCTTATAGTTATTTTTCAGGAACTAGGGGGCAACTTTTGTCCAGTTCAGGCCAGTTGAGACTACCGACCCTTCAAATGGGCCTATGTGGGTGCCTAAAGAGTGACATTTTGATGTTAGAGGGTCAAACACTCCACCCTCCGATCATCCTAACAATGCCATTTTCCACATAAGGGTCCTCTGAAGAGAAATGCAGCTTGATTACACCTGCACAGAAATCCTGATTATCTCATTTTCCCTACCAGCCAATCACTTTCTCCATACTTTAGACCATCCCACTTCTATCCCAACCCCTATTTTGGGGGAGGTGGATTTGAGATTCATTCTTCTGTCTCCTCACATGGCAGCTTTGTGAATAAAATCTTTTTTTTTTTTCTTTTGCAAAATCCATTGCCATAGTTATTGGCTTATTGCATGTGGGCAGAATAAACCTGGTCACTATCAGTTTTCTTGGCAGACTTAGCCCATGGGCCTGAATAGCAGATGGCTCCAGATATCATCCTGTAACTGAGGTCAAGCTCGTGCCACTCGCTGCAGGACAGCCAATAAGTCAAGAGGCAAGGTGTTGGGGCAAGGAAAGGCAGCAAACCGAGAAGACGGTAAACTAATATTTCAAAGAATCATCTTAAATTAGTATGAACTTTAGGCTCCTGTTTGTGTTAAAGGAAGGTGAAAGGGGGTTTGGTTGCAAGAGGTAACTGAGGACCACAGACTTCTGGGCATCAGTGAGGGTCTGAGGAGGTTGTAAAACTTCTTTGCTCTTGGTCAGTTAACTATGGAGGGCGAAGGTCAGAATGCTCCTAAAGACCTTTATTATAGTGTTGATACTTGTGTGTATGCTTTTTGTATCTCCCCAGAGTTAGTTTTGGAAAAGGGATGGTTATCTCCTTTCTTCTAGCCTATGTGCAGAGATAAGCAGAAGCTTTTAACCTAAAGGATATTACCGTAGTGGGTCAAAAGCAAAATGGAGCTAGTTATGTTAAACTTCCCTTTCACTATTATAATACTTTGTTTTACTCCTTGTTATACCTTTTATCGGATAGTCAGCCATCAAGAGGTTGGATGTGTGCTCTGGGGGAAGAGCTGGCCTTGCCAGCCAAGTTCCATAGACAGGGCCTCCATCTTCTTTTTCACCCAATATCCATAAATCCTTACCACTCATGTCTAGCCTCCTTTCTTTCCAAGCCTAAAATGTCCTCAAGAAGAACACATTTAGTTGTGTTAAGCTTTGTGCTAGCCCTATTTGCAATGAGTCATGTGACATTCCAAAAAAGGAGGCATACCTAAGATTACAAAAACTAAATTTAAGCCTTGGTTAAACCAAATCTATCTTGGCTTCAGTTCCTGCAACCTGTAAAGTAAGGGAGTTGGACTATTGTAGGACTGGCAAAAGTGTTATTTCATCTACCACTCGGTTGGGAGTGGCTGCCTAGAACACTGTGACGGAGGGACTCTGAAGTTCCACCCCAACCCTTAGAGAAAGTTGTGAGCATTGGTTGGGAATGTCTGTCTTGGGCAAGAGCAGGGCCATTCTAGGATTAGACGATCTATTCATTCCAGCTCTGAGTTGTCAAAAATCTAAATTTTTCTATGCCCTTCTTTTTTAGCATTGATCTGTGCTTTTTTTCGCTTTGGAGATTCTACCTAGTTTCCAGCTATCTCTCAGCAATTTTTTAACCAATCTATGATCAGGCCTCAACAGTTGATGAAAGCCTGAAGGTTACCATTATCACACTCTGTGATTTGGATAAGCATTTTCTCTCACTGGGTCTCAATGAGATGGGAAAAGGATCACAAGATAATATCTAAGTCCCTTCCAACTCCCAAGTTCCACAATTCCATGATCCTGGAGTTACCATGCCTCGGTACAAAAAACAAAAATAGTTTAAATGGATTGTGTAGTTGCAAAAGGGACCACATTTTTCTTCTTTTCTTGTCTTTCTTTTTCTGTTCCTTCTTGGTGGTGGGAAGGTAGTGGGCTTCCTCCCGGCCTTCAAATCTCAAAGCATAGCTGTGATATTATAAAACATATATTTGGTCTTTGACCCTGTTTCCTGGATTACGACTCCTAAAATTCTTAGAATCTCCACAGTCATCTTTCGTGTGCTAATGGCTGGGTGAAGGCTGGCAGCCTCTAGGTAGCCTTAGTATGGGGCTGGTCCCTGGAAAGATCAAGCCATGATTAAAGAGTTGGGCCTTTAAGCCTCATCTGACAATGTCCGGGTGACACTGGGGGAGACAGGCTGAAGGTTGAGTTGATCACTAATGGCCCATGGTTTAATAAATCATGCTTACATAATGAAACCTCCATAAAAGTCCCACAAGACAGGGTTCAGAGAGCTTCCAGATAGCTGAAAGCTATGCTGATCCTGTCTTAGACACAGAAGCTATAGTGGGGCTTCCAAAGACATAAGCGTCCTTTCTTGTCCTATTTCCCTTATGTGAATTGAAACCCCAGGGCCAAAGCTTACTTTCTAGAATCCCAAACTCTTTGTCTTAAATTGTCTTTAAAGGTCATTTAGTCCAAATTCCTCACCCCAGAACAGGAATTCTCTCTGAAAGACAGCTCTCATACCCGAGTGTATATGTACACTGACCTTCCAGCTAATTTACACAGTGAATGGCAGAGTTAAATAATCCCTTCATGCAGCCTACCGCAGGACCTAGGAAATCTCCCTGCACAAAACCGCTAGTTCAGGGTCTCAAGATGGCTCCAGCGTGCTAGCCTGGAACCTGAAATACCATTCTCAGCTTCTTCTCAAGCAGTGGGGTGAGTGGAGGCTTTGCAGGTTTTGCATCCACACAGAGTGAGATTCACACGTCTCACCTCTACTGCTTACTCTAGTTGGGTGGCTTTGGGCAAGGCACCTCAGCTGTCTGTGCAGTTCACCTGCAAAATACCAGGAATAAACCTCCTTTAGGGGACTGGGGTGAGGAATCATCAAGTGCCTGAAATGAATGTTGAACGCCCTCACCTCCCACGTCTCCACCAGGGCGTGAGCACCTGTGGCCGTAGGAACTGTTCCTTGGACACAAGATACTCCTTTGTCCCAGTGCTGCATATAAAAATGAGAGGAAAAGGAAATAAAAGTTATTTTACACGTCACCCCAGAATCTAGAACAGAGCTCTGTACTCAGACATTTCTCTCGGCAAGGCCTGTTAATAAACTAACAAAATTTTGCTGCTCTGTGTCTTCCGAACAAAGATTTGTTCTGTGTATCCAAACAGCTTGAAATGAAGGCTAAAAAACAGCTCATGTCCAGACACAGAAACTGAAACTTAACTTAACAGAGAAACTGAAGCTGTACTGAACCCGGAAACTGAAACTGTGTTTCTCTAGCTGGGAATCCAGCAACACTGAAAGGTACTCACTGAACAATGATTCAGCCTCAGAAGCAGAGAATGGGTTTGGATATCGGGACGTGGGAGCAGATATTTCAAGAACTGATCCAGGAGGTGAAACCCTGGGCCAAGTGGACCCTGAAGTTGGACGGGGACCTTCAGCTGGACTGCCTAGCCCCAGGGTGGAAGCAGCACCAGCAGAGAGCCTTTGGCTGGTGAGTGTGGCCTCTCCCCTTCTGAGCAGAGGCGCTCAGCTTAGCATTATTGATTCTTTTGAGAGCTTGTTGAAAAGAATAAATGTCACCAGGCTCCCTGTCCTTTTGTGGTTACAGTGTCTAAATGATGAGACTCCAAGCCTCCCTCTTGTTTAACTATAGGAAGTTTCTTCTTTTATTAGGTTTCCCTCCCTAAATGTATCTGGAAAACCCTGAAGAATTTCTCCATGTTCCAGAAATCTGCGCTTCTATTGTCTTGCCATCTCATTTGTTCCAGACTACCTCTAGAGTCTCCTGCAGTCTCCCTATCAGTGCTGACAGGCTTCCCCAGGCTGCGGCAGCTCTCCAAGCCCTGGCCCTGTTCAATCCAAGCCTGGGATGGGTCCTTCCTTTAATGCTATAAGAATTGGCTAAGATCAAGCAGTCACTCTGAACATTACTTTGCTGAAGGCCGGGGGATACTAGGAGAGAATGATGCTGTACAAACTAAATTGAAAACCTACTTCCCGAAGTTCCCAAGTAACCCCTCCCTTATTGCCTCTCTCCCTCTTTAAGCCCCAGGAAGCCTCCAGGTTGCAGGAACCAGCTTCCTTGCCCATATTAGGTGGGTGAGAACTCCTGACCTGGATAATCAAGTCCCCTGTCTTTATACGGCACACAGGGCCTTCAATCTACTCTTCATCTAACCTATTACCCTGCTTGCCTGCCTGCCCCTATCCCACCTCAGGCATGCCCTGCTATCTAATAGGCCATTCTTTGCAGACTAGTAGCCATGCCATTAATTTTCAGACTTCCATACCCTTTCTTATAGTGCTCTACCTGTTTGGTAGGCCCTTTCCTCATTTTCTACCTACTTATCCTTCAAGGACCACTCAAGTGCCACCTCCTCTTAAAAAGCATTTTGTGGTCCTCCTAGGCAGAGTAAATGTTCCTTCTATATTCTCATAAGATAATGGGATAATCTTACCGCATCAGGATAAGATAAAAACCTATATAATATGCATATATGTATATATAATTATATATAAATATGTATTATATTTTAAAATAATACATCTATAAATAATATATATTTCTACATTACATATTGTATAAAATACAGTATATATTTATTTTTGGCTGCAGAATCCATTGCTTAAATAAAGCCTCCTAAGGTTCTGCAGAACAGTTTTCAAGCCACGTGCCAGACCCCATATAGCAGTCATTTTGTTCTGCCTTTTGATCCAGTGAGCTGTGTTTCTGTCCATATCAGCCAGAGCTCTTTGAGGGACTTGTGATGCATTTTTTCATTTTGGCACACCCCCCACCGCAAACAGGAAGGTGTTTCTTCTGTTCAGATGAATTAATTTGATAGTCATGGTGAGATAGGAAAAGCAACCTACCAATATACTTTTGGAAAATATCAGCTTTTGAAAAGCATTTTGTATTTTATAAGTGTTTTCATATATATTGTCTCATTTGGTGCTGACAAAAAAAACCCTTGAATATTATTTTATGGATGTGAAAACTGAAGCTTACAGAAGGCAAATGCCTTACCCAGGGTCCCTCTGATGTAAACTATGGACTTGGATCTTCCGCTCAAGTATTAGAGCTCCAGGTCCTAGTCTGTTTCTCTAGGTGCAGAACTAGACATGTTGCTCATTTGAGGTAATGTGATATAGTAGGTAAATAAGGTTGGTTTCATATGCCTGAGATTAGAAACATACCTCTATCACCTACCCTGTGTGTCCTTGTTACGACTCAGTTTTCTTATCTGGATGTTGGGTTCAACAATGCTTACTTCATAGGAATGCTTTAAAAGTGAAATGGGATAACATTGTAAAGCACCAATTACAGTGCCTGCCTCGTGACAGGTACTTTACCGAAGTTTTCTGTGACCATAATGAGGAACACATTTCTCTGGCAGAGGGCAGAAATTATTTCCCCTCTGAGACATCTAAAGATGTTTTACTAGCAAAAAGGTAGACTTGGGGACCACATATGAGTAGAAGCTCAGTGGGTCACAGGAAAAAATTTTATCTGAAACATGATCTCCTCTGTTCCTGTTTGTCCATGGCTGGGACAATCCAAATCACATGAACTCTGAATTAAAATGGGTCTTAGAGATGATGCAGGACTGTTTTCCCTCAGGTTAACAATCAATCAGCTGAGGACACAATGGGCATTTTCCCTCTGACTGCAGGTTCCATTGTTCCTTATGCTGCCGAAGTTGGGCTTCAGCCCGAGTGCAGATTCTGTGCCACACATACTGGGAACGCCGGATGGACCAGGGCCAGGTGGTCATGCGACCTTTTGCTCAGAGGTGCCAGAAGTGTACCTGGTCCCAATATGAGATGCCTGAATTCTCCCCAGAGAGCACCACGAGGATTCTGAACAACCTGGTGCAGCATATTCTGACGAGGTACTACAAGGATGGAACCAGGAAGCCTCCAAATACATCAGTGATCCCAGAGGTGACTTTGGAAGGGTCCCACGACACGGCCAACTGCGAGGCATGCGCTCTGGGCTTCTGCTTAGAGGGCTTGCAAAGCCACAGGACAGAGCCACTCCCATCCCCACCCTCCTACCTGAAGATTGGGACATCCTTTCTTGGAAATAGTATTGTGTGCATCCCAAAACAAGCCATGAAACAGTCAGCTCAGGCAAAGGAAGCTAAGGCGAGTGGCTCTAAGGGGTCAGTGCCCAGCCGTGCCTGGGATCCATTAACCATCTGTCTCTTTTGTCTCCTAGTTGTTGCTCTTGTACTTACAGGCTTTAAAAAAGAATCATAAACATAGGCTTGCCTTCTTCTCTCCTCTGGTCTGAAGTCCATGACAATCAATGAACTGGCAGCCATTTTAATATGATAGAGAATTTACTTTGAGACCAAGCAGGGTCAAGTTTATAGAATAAACACTAGTTTCCTAGATATTCTCTGAAAATAGTCTAAAACATGACCAAGGACATACTGGACCAAATAATAAATATGTGTTGAATCACTGAAAGATCTTCGTTCATTTATTCACTTATTCACATTCATTAGTATCAATAAATACAGAGATCATATCTTGACAAGAATAGTGGGTAGTGAGCACTATCGGAAAGTGTGGTAGGCAGAATAATGGTCCCCTCCCCCAAATATGCATGCCCTAATTCCAGAAGTTATAAATATGTTACTTTATGTGGCAGAACGGACCTTCGCAGATGTGATTAATTTAAGGATCTTGAGATAGGTAGATGACCTTGCGTTATTCAGGTGGGTAATAACAAGGGTCTTTATAAGAGGGAGACAACAGGGCCAAAATCAGAAAAAGGATATTTGACAATGGAACCAGAGGTTGGGAGATGTGCTTGGAAGTTGGAGGAAGGGGCCACTAGCCAAGGAGTGAAGGCAGAATCCAAAAAGGCAAAGAAAAATGTCCTCTGGAGCCTTCCGAAGGAACCAGGCCTGCCAACACATGGCTTTCGCCCAGTGATTTTGAACTTCTGACCTCCAGAGCTGTTAGATAGTATTATAGATTTGCCTTGTTTTTAGGCACTAAGTTTGTGGTAATTTGTTATAGCAGCAAGAAGAAACTAATATAGTTATCAACATTACAGCAGGAATCAGGCAATTATGTTTTAGGTATGTCTCAGTTCTGCAGAAAAAAAGAACACTTTGTACATTAGAAATATTGACCCATCCCATCCCCTCTTGTTCTTCCTTCTCTCCTACTTAAACACACTCATGTCCCCATTCCAAAAAGACTCCCTTTGATTTGATGACCCTTGGAGCTACCACATTGGATTGGCAAGCAGGTAGGCACTTGCCAGTGTTGAGATCCTGTGACGCAAGGCTACCTCCTTCACACCTGTCTGCGTCTGTGAGGCATTTCTGTGTGCCCGCCACACTGCCTTCTCCACATGACCGTGTTTAAAACCAAGCTCAACAGCATCTCTGACTTTGGTGTTTCCGTTCCCCCCAGCTTCCCACCCATGCTTATCACTTTGGTGTCGCCTTTAACTTCTTCTCCCTGTCACTAACACTTTTCGTCCCTTCTTTTGTCAAGTTGCTCCCATCTCTTCCTTCTACCTTCCCTTGTCGTCCCCTCTCCCCACCTGGTTCAAGATTACTGAATGGAGAGGGAATTTGGAGTTCGTCCATAGACAATGAGGAGTCTGTGCAGGCATTTGGAAGATATGGGTAATTTGAGTAGAACCACATTTAAAAAATACTGTCTTTTCCTGGGGAAGAGTAGAGTATAGAATAGCAATAGTGAAGAATCTGGCTTGCAACAGGGTAGTGATAAATCCAGAAAGAGGTTTATGTAGACAATAATTATAAGAGGCCAGAAAACCCAAGGATAAAAACACCTCCTTTTTATCTGGCCATCTCTTTCCATTTTCTCTAGCCTCCCCCCCCACAAGCACTCTCTCTTTATATACAATCCCTTACATAAACACCCTACTGAATTTCTGCATTCCTCCTGTTTTCATATCTTTTGGGTTCTTTCACAAAGAACATTGGCCTGGGGACCAAACTGAAGACTTCATTTATGGCCTGGTTATGCCGTTTGACCTGGGGCAAGTCATTGCCCTTCCTTGGGCCTCAGTTTTCCCATCTACAAGATAGGCTGAGATAAAAACATAGACAATTGAACACATGTATTTACCTTTGCTCTCTTTTGAAACCACACTGAGTAACAGCAAAAGGAGAGTGAAGGCATCAGTACCCAAGGGCAAGGAGAATACTTAGAAGCTATAACACTGATGTACTAGTGACAGGTAACTGACTTAGAAGAGAAGAAAGAGCTGGAATATAAACTAAGTATGGGAAAACCAAGATACAAGGCAATTCACGTGGCATGGTCCCAGAAAGCTCCAAACTGTAGGCGACAAGTAGCTCTGAAGGAGCACTGAGGAGGCTGAAGAGGAGCTGAGGAGCACTGGCTGAAAGACCTTCTAAATAAGTTTCTTTCCCCTACTCCCAGGCAGCGTGGGGACCGCACTTCACCCAATCAGGAGGGAGAATGAAGGCTTATTTGCTGAACACATCTACAGTAAGGCAATGTATATTACACAATGGCTAGAAAAGAGGCTTTCGAATATTCTTGCCACAAAGAAATGATAAGTGTATGAGGAACTGGATATGCTGATTGATCAATATACAACATATATATGTACAGAAACACCAAATTGTCACTACAAATATATACAATTATAATGTGTTGAGTAAAAAAATTATTTCCAACATAGAATTCTATACCCAGCCAAAACTTAGTCACATGTAGGTATAGAATAAACTTCATTTTCAGACATTCAATGAGTAAAAATTTTACTCATTGCCTCTCTCCATGTACCCATTTTCAGGAAGCTACTAGAGAAAATACTTCCAAAAAATGACTGAGTAAACCATTTATAGTGAAGACTCAGGGCCTAGGAAGTAGAGGGAGATAAAGAGAGTTCTTAAAATGCTGGAAAGGCCAGCTCCTATCACCACTGCAGGTGAGCTCCAGGGAAGTGGCAGGGGAGGGCTCTGGTGTAGGCAATGAAGGGGTGCATTGACTGGAGAATTTTAAATTTATAATAGTCAATGAAAAGTTGTCTGTTTTTCTTTTTACCATGAAATGCTACCAATTCTGAACAACGTCAGAGATGAATTGTTTCCCCCAAATAACCTTTCATTGGTCTAAATTCTAAACAATTTCTACAGTTACTGTTGAGTTTTAATAATACGTATATAAACATTCTTCTAACCAATAAATCACACTGTGGACAGAACCCCAGCCTTGAAATTCAATTACTCCAAGGAATCCCGAGAATGGCCAGGGATGAAGGACTAGTCTTTCCCTAGCTGAGTGCCCGTCTCCCTTGAGTCCTTTCTCTTGCCCAGGATGTGAGCCTGGGGAGAGCTGTGCCCCAGAGGCTCGAGAGTCTGTAAAGGTCTATGGAATCTGTTTGGAGTTGGCCTCAGCCTCTTTCCTTTGGAGAGAAACAAATGGGGTCCCCAAGCTTTCCGTGGTGTACAGAAAGGAGGTGTTAAAAAATGTACCTATTTGACATTCAGTGTGTCAAATAGGACATCACTGATTGGCTGAGTTCAATTTAGGTTTCCAGAATATTCACATCCAAGCATTTGAGTATTTTGTTTCTATGGCATCTTGTGTAACTGCTCAGTGCCCAATACATATTATTTGATATATTGGACATTTTGGGGGCTTAAGCGCTAACTCCCCCCACCCTACCCAGCCAACTGCATAGTGCAGGAGCAGTGAGGGCTGGGATATGGCCGGCAGCCTGGGAAGCATCACTCTGTCCTTATGCTGGGGAATTAATTTGGCTCCTGAAATAACAGATTGGGATATCACTGGAGGGAAGAAAGATTTGGAGAGGAAGTCAGCAGCGCCCCACCAACCATGAGCAGGCATTACCAGTCAGGCCAGGGAGCCAAGCTGGGATCAGGAACAGAAACAAATTTATTTTATAAGCACTGAGATAATTCTCAGGTAAACAGATCTGATCTGAGAAGGCTTAGCAAATGCTGCTGTTAACAAAATCAGTCATCCCTTGAAATGGAAAAGGATTTTTCCATGTGTTGGTCATTGATTGTAGCCAAGGACCAAAAGCCATGGATTTCAAGGAGTGCTAAATGCAATCTCTGGCCTTTTTTGAACTGCCTTCCATGCTCTCTGCCTCATTTACACGTCACATGCTCACCCCCAGTGGATTCAAGGCATTTTCATCCTAGAGGATTATACCCTCTAAACATCCTCAGGCCAAAGGGCAGAGAGAGAAAAGCCTCCGGGGGTTTGGAAGGACAGATTCATCAGATGTCAGAGCCAGAAGTGATTCTGGAGCAGGATCCTGACCCATCCCTTCAGCAGGAGTGAGAAGAGTCACTTTTGACCCCTGCTGCCTCAGCTGAGGCCAAAAGGCACTGATAATTTCCACTTAAGGATGTCAAAGAGGTGAACACTCAGGGGTGATGCCTTCGCCTCTGGATTAAACTAAAGGCTGTGAGTATGGAACCAGGAATTTTTCAATTTTATAATGGGAAGTAAGGAGAGGTCCAGAGGAGTGAGAGACAGAAGAATGGGAGAATATGGGGCAAAACAATGTATTCTGGCTCCTGGGAATTTCCCAACAATCTTGGAATTGATAAAGGCCTACAGTATTCTAATGTGACTTGACCAGCCATTTGGGGGCCTGTTGTGGCTGGAAGACACACTGGCAGTCACTAATCCTCAGCTCCAGAGAGTTAGGATGGCCTTTTCCCTGGAGATCCTGGGATGTGGGGGTCCCAGATGGCTTAATGGCTCAGACCCTTAGAGTGAGCTCTTGGGGACCCTCTAGTCCTAATGCATCTTTTACAGATAAGGAAACCAAACCCTTGGAGGCAAAATTGAGTTGCCTGTTAAAGTAGAATTTTCAAAAAGATAAAATCATATCTCTCATACAAATAGTAAATAAACATGTTTCAAAGATTTTATTGAACTCATTAGTTAATGGGAAAATGGTAACATTTAAAACCATCCCAAAGAGCATTTGAGAAGCCAGATATATAATATATATAGCTTTCTGGGTTACAAGCTGTATAAAAACTAGTTTATGTTTAACAGGATCATAAACTGTAAACTTTGGGGCTACTAGTTCCACAGGGCATAAATTATTTGCATCTCTACTGAACAAAATTTATAAGTGAAATTTTGCCTTACAATGAAGTAAAATAGTTTAGTAAATAGTAAGTCCAGTGCTGAAAGAATATCTAATACTGTAATTTTTTTAACTTGTCCATGCTCATACTGGTAATTGCCAGCAGATGTGAGACAGTGGAAGTCTAGTCTCGTGATGCCCAACCTAATATTTTTGTCCTTGCAACATAATTCAGAAAGACCAGGATGTCCAAACCTAAATTGCTAGTGGTAGAAAGGACTGCTGAGAGGGGGGGTGGGTCCCCTACCTACTCCATACCCACCCAGCCCTTCCATCCTCCTTAAAGTGCTGCTTATTCAAGCACTGACCTGCAAGGAGCCAGAACTGGGTCCTTGTTCCCACATTCCTCAAACCCAAGGTGTGGTCTTGAGATCTTCTTCCTTCCTTCCAGCATCCTACAGGATCCTTGGCCACCCTCCCACCCTCACTTGCTTCTCTGGGTGAGTCTCTTCTCTTGGCTGTCTCTGGGCTCCATGTTGGACCCTGTGACTTCTTTTCTGCACCTCTGAGCTCTTACTGCATGTGCTTAGTGGGAACCCCCACAGGACGTGTTCAAGTAGCTGAGATACTCAACAAGAGTTAAGGACCGAATGTCTTCAGTTGGCATTGCTGTCCTTTAAATTCCTTCCAGGGCATAAATGCAAGGATTCTGTAACAGTTTATTCCCCCAAATGGGAGCATTAACACGCACATAGAACCTAGAAAGCCTCAAGTGGTTTTACAAAGCTGGTGTTGTTTGTTTGGCTGTAAGATAAGTCTAATTTTCTGGCTCCTCATCAGAGTGAATACTAATGTCCTTCCTTCTGGGAGGGCTCTGAGGATGAGATTTGGGAGCCTGAGGCAAGTGACACTGAGCTGCTTAACACTGTGACAAGGCATCTATCTGCACAAACACCCATCCTTTTGTTCTTGCCAGATTTGTGTGGGTGGCAGAGGTTGGAATAATTTCATTACCAGAGTCCATCAGCCTTGACAGCATCTCTCTAAGATTGCCTTTTTCATGATCATTTTGTTTGTTTGCCTGAAATGGAATTCAGGTAGATAAGGAATGGGGTGGCACAGGGGTAGCTATTAACCTTTCAAAAGAGAACACGATGGGAATGAATCATCAACCCCCACACCCTGATTTGGAGGTTTGTTTTTGCATTTATTTTTATCCTCTAAATAAAAAGAGGAGAAAAGAAATCTAAGGAGGATAAGTCCCTTATGGCTAGAAAAGTTGAGAACCATCATACTATAAAGTTTAGACCCCAAGTCCGGGATGGAAATCAGAAAGAGCTGGGCCAAGATTTCTATTTTGTTCCTTGACTCACAATATGTCAGGGCTATAGGAATATGAGACATCCTCATTTTACAGACTGAGAAATGAAGACCCAGAGAGGGAGCATAATTTTCCTAAGTTCACACAGCTGTGTTGAGCCACGTGTGTGTGTGTGTGTTTGTGTGTGTGTGTGTGCGCGCGCGTGTGTGTGTTTCATAGGGGTTGGGGGAGGAGGAAGCTAGTACCCTGCATACTAACTGGCCAGTAGTTAGGGCTATTACTCTGAGGCTTGAGCTACATACAACACAAAGAGAACAAAGATAGGAAGTGGTAACTTCAGCTCGTTTCCCCTCTGCTCAAATTAAACTTTTCCTCTTCAATCCCAGGTTTCTGCTCGCAAGGCCTCCAGGACCTCT